CCCGTGAGGAAGAGAGAGGTTCTTTGCTGATAGGGCCTATATAAATCCCAACATCCATTCAGAGGATGGAGTCCAGGATGTGGCAGCCCTAAGATGCCCTCAAGGACCCAGGTACTCGCGTTCCTGTTCTGTCATCCTTGGTACTTGGCTTATATCTTCAGAGTCACTTCACTGTCCAAGACAGCTGTTAGAGATCCAGCAATCACATCTATGTTCCAGGAACAGGGAGAACAGAAGAAGGACCATTTTCCCCCTCTTCAGGGGCCTTTTCAAAGCCCCTACAAGACTTCACTTACATCTTACTGGCCAGAACATTTTCATTTGGCCCCATCTAGCTGCAAGGGAGGCTGGAAAATATAGCCTTTATCTCAGTGGCAGTGCACCTGGATAGAATTGGGGCTTGTTGGTAAGGAGGAAGGGGAGAATGGGTGGTAGATGAGCCACTAGGGCTTCTGTCCCAGTGGCCACTGCCAGATGCTGGGGGGATGGATGCTGGGGAGGCAAACTACAGGTGCCCACTAAACTTGGCAGTTAGTGTTCTGCTGGGGTCTAATAGCGCCTCTTCAGTGAAACAGGTATTTCTGAAAGAGTTCTGGATTAGAGGTCAAAAGTTCTGACTGCTGATTCCAGCTCTGCTATTAACTGGCCATGAGGCCACATACACCTCATTTTGCCTCTTGTGTCTTAGTTTCTCCAACTGTAAAATGGGGACTATAGTCATATCAGTCGGACATGCCTCAGACTACAAGTCGGATATGCCTCTGCCTCTGAGAATGCCTGACTGACTAGCAGTAGGGTGACCAACTCATCCTGGTTTTCCTGGGACTTTTCTGAGTTTAGCACTGAATGCTAAATGCTAAATGCAGCATCCTGGGAACACCCTGAGTTCTAGGCAAACTGGGATGATTGGTCATTCTAAGTAGCAGTAACTTAAATCAGAAAGGCGTTTATCATTTGGAGGTAGGTGTCCCTGGGTGAGTTCAGCAGGTTTACGATGTCTTTATGGACCCAAGCAGGCCCTTTGCATCTTTCAGATCCACCCTGCTTGGCAGGTTGGGTTTCCTTCCTCCAACTTGCCATCCCCTGGTCATGAGTATGGCTGCCCCGCTTCAGCACCTGTTGTCTTAGGCTGGCCTCCCTAGAAGCAGGGGGCTGAGATGGGGAATGAGGCACATGTGTTTTATTCAGATGTGCTCTCAGAAGAAAGCTGCAATGGAGAAGGGAAGCAGGATTGGGCAGGGGAAAAGGTAAGCAAAGATGTGGTTTTGCCTAGAGTTTAGTTTCTGCCTGATCCCACAGGGAGCTCTGAAGCATGAACAGCATCACAGAACAAGTTCCACCTTGAGGCAAGGGGCTGAGGACTTGCACCCGTGTCAGCCAGTTGTGGCTGTGAGCTGGCTTGGTGGGGTAGGGCTGTAACCTCGAAGGCATCTCTGGGTGCTGTGATTCCCTGGAGAGGGGGCTGCCCTGAGTTATGACAACACAGCATCTGGGGGCTGGACAACTACAGCTTCTTCTACCCATGTCTTCACTCAACAGCATCCAGGGCAGAAAGGAGGAAAGAGGAGAAAAGGGCTTTCTCATATCAGAGGGAAAATCTCCCCAGCAACCTCAGACAGACTTCCTCTGGGGTCTCGTTTGCCAAAACTGGGTCACGTGCCCACCTCTGATGACTCATTGCAAAGGGTGATGGGATTACCATGGTTGGTGTAAACCCTGGGACTGGGCAAACAGGGGACCTGCTGGTGCGGAAGATGGGGAACGGCTTTCACATGGGCAACTAGCAATGTCTGCCCTCAACACTGCCCCAACTCTGGGGCTGTGGTGAGGTCCAAGCACCGATCGCAACTCTGTAGACACGAGTGGTTGTTACTTATTTTCCCTCTACCTCTTTCCCTGGTCCCTGCAGGCAAATAGGTTAGGCCTCCTTAACAGAGATGAGGCTACCCTCATAACTCTCCCAGATCCTTTGCTGAAGTTCTGGGCAAACTTGGGCTCTTGCCTTGGGCACGTGGAGGAGGCTGGAGGGCCCCCCCAAGTCTCTGCCAGGAACCATAGATCTTAGCGTTTGGGGATGTGCTTTCAGCTGGACCTTCCAATTTATTCTCCTTCAAAAGCAAAGCACAGCCCAGCAGTCTGGGATGGGTAAGACTGAATAGCTGAGGGCAACATTGCTTCACTTTGGCCAGTCCCCTTCCCTTCCCCAGAACTGCCCCTAGGAACCTTGGTTGACTCTCACTGTTGAGTAATTTTTATGCCTGTTTCAAAAGCCTCTGAGCTTCCAAAATGAGGCATTTTCCATCTAATCTTCTTTATGGAGAAACAGCTTTTATCTATTTAGCAGCTATTCTGTTAAATGCGGTCACATACCCACCTCCTTGGGCTTGTCCTTATTAAATGGACTTGTCATTTAGAGAATGATTCTAAGGACTTCTTTTTTGTGTCCCATGTATATATAATAATAAACATGGTGGAATGCCAATAGCTACCAAGTAATCCAGACCTGGGACGTAGTCCTATTAGATTCTTTTTGCCCCCTATTTTTAAAGGCAAGGCTAGTTGGTGGCTTTAAATTTATTACAACAAATTTATTTATTTGGACATTTCCAGGTCATTTGGGTAAATGGCACGTTCTTCTCAGAAAAGAAAATGAAAAAAATATTTCGGGGGCTTCCCTGTTGGCGCAAGTGGTTGAGAGTCTGCCTGCCGATGCAGGGGACACGGGTTCGTGCCCTGGTCCGGGAAGATCCCACATGCTGCAGAGCGGCTGGGCCCGTGAGCCATGTCCACTGAGCCTGTGTGTCCAGAGCCTGTGCTCTGCAACGGGAGAGGCCACAACAGTGAGAGGCCTG